TTTTGGTACCAGTTTTATTGGAAGGGGGAACCTAGTTGGCCGAACCATGAATTATGTGGGATCAATTTTGTGTTATTCTCTTGAAAAAGTTGTACGACCAAAACAAGGAATCAGGGCCGGCCCTGGCCCAGGGCGACCTGGGCGACGGCCCAGGGCCCAGGCCAGGGCCCAATTCGAATGGGGCACAATTTTTGAGCCTTTATTTGCCCAATTAATAATACAAATAATAATAATAAGTAATGAATTTGATATTGTGATGATTGTGTCTGGCCCAATACATGATGGGCCTAATTACAAAGAATCCCAAGACATTTAAATTAATATCTGGTTTTGCACAAACATTAATTGCAACCAAAAAATTAAATGCCTAACAATTAAAATGAACAAAAACTTTATAAAATAGATGAGAACCTACCAACCCATCTTTATATCTATTCCTATTAGATTATTTTTTTATTTTTGTGTATCTTTATAGATTATGTATTATAAATTATAATCTATTATTCTAAAAAAAATTACAACTCATTGAATAAAAAAACATTTAATTAAGTAACAAACTGTAAAATAATATGAGTTGTTATTAAATAAATTACATTAAAAAAAAGGAGAGTTAATTTTCTCCACGAAATTATAAGGATGTATATAAATATAATATTCAACTTACACATAATTATATAATTTTGTAAATAATAGTGTTCATGCTTATGTTTTAGGTTCATATAAATTTTCTTGTAACTTATTTATTTACCTCAGCTTGTTGCATTGAAATAAACAGGAATGAGGGGCAATTATTTTTATTAATTCATCCAAAGTTACTCAATATATGGGATAAACAAAGTAATTGTTGAAATATCATAAATTTCATCGTATGAAACGAAAAGGAGGGATTTTTTTTTAAACAAAAAAGGAGGGGCATATTTGTTACATTTGGCCCAGGGCCTAAGAAAGGCTAGGACCGACTCTGCAAGGAATAGATGCAAAGGTTGAAAGCAAGAAAGCAAGCCCTTCTTATCCGGTTATCCTAGTGACAGCTGGCTAACGTGCACCAACACCGACTAATAGAAAATACGAATCATATATTAAATGAAAGTAACTTATTAATGAAGGCAGAATTCGTTTTTAAATTCATCATTGTAAATTATTTCATAGTCTATATTAAATCTCAAATCATGTTTACAAAACTATTAGTACTAATACCCATGTACAACATGAGTGTTGAGTTAATGAATATATATGTAAATGTCTGATACCAAACCTAACTTCAGAGCAAAAATAATATAAAAACACGTCATGTCAGCATCCGAAGCGTGAGAATCTACCACCTAAGCTCAATGAATTAATATATAAGGAGGAATTATTTCACTATATGAAGCAGCACCATGGTTGAGGGCCGTCGTATAACTAATTAATTTGTGATGTAGAAATTTAAATATTGTGGACATGTGATATTTATACATATTATTCTACATTAAACCAATTTTGCCGAATTTTGTCGTTGACTTAAGGGCATCCGCAATCAATGTCATTCATTTAATCACCAACTAGTACGGTACTCGTGCGATGCACGGACTAGTAATATTAAGGGAAACATTTTGAATTGGATGATGTGATCATATTGTTCAAAATACAAAGCTCATTTATTCAAATAAAAAAAAAATATTATTTAGATTTTAAAAACACCTTCTTTATACACAATGTTTTTTGTTTTTGTTTGGACATCGACATGTCCACAAATTAAATCTTTCAATCCTTACGATTCGTAACGCATGAAACGACTACATACAACTGACCGTGAGTGAACACCGATTTCTTCAAGAACGTGCTAACATGCGATATCTTTTTCTTTTTAATTTTTTTTCTTTTGTAATTTTCATTTAACATTGAATCTCCCATCCTTTTTGTCTTTTTGCATTTGATATGGTTTCGCTTAATAAGATACAACAATATTTTTTTAATTTAAATAGGTTATATATGTCAAAATTAGTGTGTTGAAATGATTGATTTGTATATACGAGGATTAGTATTTAAAGCATGTGCTATATTTACATTGTTAGTATAAAAACATCGGTTAAGATATAATTATTTTAGTAATAAATTAATCGGTAGGTTAAATAAATGAAAGATATAATATAATTTTTGTAAAGAAACAACTCTGATAATCAATTAATATTTAAAAAAATATTAAGATTTTCAAGGATATTCGTCTTTTTTTTTTTTTTTTTTTTTGATAGTGTATCTCTTAATAAAATATACCAGAATTTTTTGAATTTGAATCAGTAGTATATGTCACAAATAATGGATTGAGATAATTTTTAAAGACTGATTTGTAACTTTCGGGAATTTTAAAGACTGATTTGAATTTGTTGTGCGTTGTTTCTAAGAAATAAAATATAAATGAAAAAATACACAATTATTAGAACTTAGTTGGAATTTTTAAATAATAAAATAAATTAAAGCTTAAAATTTAAGGTAACATTTAATGTTGTATGATTTTTTAAAGATAATAATAAAATATAATAAAACTTACTATCTCCTATTATTTTTAATGTCATTTTGGCTTTATCAACAGTTAACTAAATAAATGACGTTTTGGACCTTTTATACATATTTTTCCATTATTACCCTCATCCAACTAATAAATACACTACGTCTTTTCATATTCACTATTCATATTTTTTCAAAACGTTCATCTCTATCCTCATTAATGAGGGTTATTATTTACAAAAAAAATATTCTTAATCACTGTGCAACTTTTTAAACGACACTTATTAAAAATAGGAGGGAGTATTATTTATGAGTTGCATTAAATTCTCTCCTATTTTTTGTTACTATTTTTTATAAATAGGTTATCTCTTTAAATATAGATTCTCTCGTATGAATAGGTTGACCTAAAATTTACAAACAATTGATTGGTCATTATGCAATTCAGTAGATACCAAATGTAAAAAAAAAAGGCATCAGCAAATAGAAAAAGCAGATGAAGCTATAGTGCACAATCCTCCCTGTATATAATTCCCGAATGCGCTGAGCCTACGTGGCTGCTTCTGGTGCTTCAGAATCCTACTTGGCGAAAAATCATGCTTCTTAGTTAGGTTTGAACAAATAATATTATATATTAATAATTAATAATCTAGGTTAGGACATTCCATAAATATTATTTAGCTAACTTAGGTAATTGTACTAATATAACCCTTTAATTCTTTGTAATTTTAGACAGTGAGTCACTAAGTGACTAATATATCCCCGATTTTTGATTTGTTTCTTACAATTAGCTATTGAATTGTAAATGTATTTTAAAGGTTGATAATTTTTGTATTTCTTATCGGTTTTACATATATAATATATTAAATTAATTATCTTTTGATGATCTTCGATTTGACATCCATATTGTATATATGAAATATATAAATTATATTCATCTTTATAATAATAAAAAATAATAATATTTACTAAAATTCATTAGAAAAATAAAATTATTTCTCAACTGATATATTTTTTTTAATGCAGTTATATGTTGTAAGTTAAAAAATTATTATAATATAACATAAATAAGTCGCACAAATAAAAAGTGTCATACTAAATATGATAATATAAATATTTTTAAAAGGTATTTATATTTTCAACTACATTTTCTCAGTAATTTTAGATTTTAAGAAAAAAAATTAGCAAGCACCCGTGTAATACACGGGCGTTGCACTAGTTTGTATATACAAATAAATAAATAAATAAATAACAACAAATTAAAAACATTGTAGAATTTCATTTCATTACAACATATGGACATTAGTTAGATTAGGCCAAGACATTGCCATAAAAGCACGAGAACATATTAAAGCTCTCAATCAAAACCCACAATTAAAGTACACTAAACATATCAAACAAAATCCGGCCTAAAACTCCTGCGAAGCAGACCCAACTTCCCCTTTCCCCTTGCCGGCTCCGGTCTTCTTTGGCAGCAGAACCTGATGGATTTTGGGCAAAACTCCGCCGCTCGCGATCGTCACCGACCCCAACAGCTTTCCCAGCTCCTCGTCGTTCCTCACCGCCAGCTGTATATGCCTCGGCACGTTTCTGGTCTTCTTAGAGCATCTCCAATGGTATGTTGTCTATTTTGAGTTGCATAGCATGGAGAAAGGAGATTAAAAAATTGTGTCTCCAATGGATTATGTTTAAGAAGGTTTATTATGACATGTGTAAATTTATAATTGGTTGAAAAAAATTAAAAAAATTGAATATGTAATATAATATATAATAGAAGTTTTCTAGAAGTACTTCTACATCTAGAAAGACTTCTAGAATTTTTTTAGGCTACATAGGATTTTTTGTGCCATGTGGCAACAAGATAGGACAATCCAAAGGCCATTGGAGATGCTCTTATTGTCTCTGGCCGCATTTTCGGCGAGCTCAAGTACCTGAAATTCGAATTCCAAAATCCATAAAATTAAAAAAAAAATGACTCGATAAAAATCACGCCTTTTTTTGTACATTTTTTTTTGGTACAAATAAAAATCACGCCTTTGATTTCAACTAAAGCCCACAAAAACTTGGATTTTTTTAAATTCAATCGAACCTCGGCGGCGAGATACTCAAGAACGGCAGAGAGGTAAACCGGCAAGCCCGACTCGATGCGCTCGGAGTAGCGACCCTTTTTCAGGAAACGAGCGACCCGACCCACGGGAAACTGGAGGCCCGCTTTTGAGGATCTTGAGATTGCCTTCGACCTGGTATGGCCCCGACAGACTTTGCTCCGGTGGTTTTCTCGCTCATGATTTTCGCCGGAATTTCGGTTCGTTTTGTTTGGGGTAAAAAAAAATGATTTCAATACGAGTGGGAAGTGAATCAATTGAGAGAAAAAAGGTTAATGGTGGATTTCTTTTCACCTAGATCCCCAACATGGGATACTTAGGTTGTAATCGTTTATGGATTCAACTAGTTTTTATTTAGTTTGTTTTTTAACTATAGTTAATCTTGAAAAAATGTAATATAGTTAGTTGTTAGTGGATCTTAAAATAATATTTAAATAAAATAATTAGAGTTGATTTGATGTAAAGTAGATTAAAAATGATTGAAAGTGATGATTAACTAAAATTATGTGAGCGGATGAATAGTGAATTAAAGTTGATTTGATGTGTAAAAATGATTGTTTGATGTTATATAATTATATTGATAATGGTGGAGATAGTGAAGTTGAGTTAAATTTGAGTTTGATTGGTTTTTTTACTGTTGAAATCATATCCAATCGCTCTCTAACCCTTTTGTGATCTCAATTTGACAGTCAGGATTTATCGAAACTGCATCGAGGGATAGTGAAGATTGCCAGCGTAGCGTGTTTTCGTTCTTATCACTGCCTGATTTAAGGGACACTGCCCGATTTTTTTGAAAAATAAAAAATAAAAATAGTTACTTAAAATAGTAAGTAACTAATGCTAATTAAAATTTCACCAAGGTTGACATACTATTTCTAAAAAAAATGTTATTATTTTTATATAATGATAGATTACACTCTCTCTCATCTACATTATGCCCACATCATCATTCCACTAACATTTTTTTAGATAATAATAATAATAATAATAATAATAATAATAATAATAATAATAATAATAATAATAATAAAATTAAATCATGAAAAGTGTGTGATCCTGGTCACACTATGACCTTGGGTCGCGATCAGCTATCAATTTGAGATTTGAAACAAATACTCCCTCCGTTTTAAAATATATGTCATTTAAAATAACAAATACTCCGTTTTCCCTCTTTTCTTAATTTTAATTTTATTTTTTAAATTGGTTGGTATTTTTTGTATTGTGTGATAAAATATTATTTTATTGAAATCATACAATTTTAATTATAGATTTATATAATTAATTTGCCACCGTTAAAACAACAAAAAAATCAAATATAGGTAATACTTACTAAATAAATATACAGAGATAAAATAAATCTTTTAAGCCGAGTTAGGTTGAAATAAAAATAAGTTGCATTATTATAAAGTTATTGAGACGAGTCCATTGCAAATGGAGCTGGAAGAGTCAATGTTGACAATTCTTCTGGCATCGTGCAAATAATGGACTAGATTAAAATGACTCAATTAAATTCTAGTGCTTCTTCTATTAGTGAAGTTTATAGAAAAAATATATCAAACGACGCAACGCACCTTGAGTCGCTATGGAAACAACCTCCTTGTATAATTATAAGGGTAAAGTTTGCGTATAACTAACCCCCAGACCCCAACATGTTGGGAATATATTGGGTATATTGATGTACAGTTTTGCTATGGAGCAATCGGATGGCTCGGCTTATGGAGCAATCCACAATTACTCACCAATAGTGTATTGACACGTGTCTTACAATAAATACAATTTGGACAGGTGTCAATATATTAAGCAATGGATGACTCCATAAGAAAATAATCCGATTGCTCCATAGAATTTTTGTGTTGATGTATTGTAAAGTTATTGAGAAATATATTGTAAATGTTTTGTTGAGTTGAGGATAAAAATGAACTTAAATATGGAAAAGAGTTGTACTTCTTTCGTCCAAAAAAAAAAAAAATACATAAAAAAAACATTGATGTTTATTATACTTATATTCACATACCAATGCGACTTTTTGACTATATAAGGACCTAAAAGGCTAAAACTGTTCATCTTCTCATTATTAAGAAATTATCTTCAACTGCAAAACAGAGGCGAAAATCCAAATTTGGAGACTAGTGAGTTTTTGGGGATTTAGATCGGAGAGTGGGAAGGCATCAAACATGTGCTGTGATGGAGATTGCCGGCCTTTGGGCTTTCTGTTGGGCCTTCCTTTCGCTCTTCTCTCTCTCCTAATCTCCGTCGTCGGCATAGCCATCTGGATTCTCGGGTTTGCTTTTTCTTTCCTTCCTTCTTCTTCTTCTTAATTCTTATTTTTCATGGATATCGATCATGATTTGTATTTTTATTCGTGTATGTATAGGCTGTTGTTGAGCTGTATATGCCCGTGTTGTCTGTGCGTGACGGTGGTGGTTGAGCTCGCGCTTGAGCTCATCAAAGCCCCAATTCATGTGATGGAGTGGTTTACTTCTCAGATCCCTTGCTGACGAAAGTTTATAATCCTTCTTCGACTTCATTATTCCTATATATTATTATTTGGTATTGGGTTAATTTTTCGGTTGGCTGAGTTTATCCTTATTTTAGATTTAATTATCATGTGCCTTGCTTTGAATATGAGTTTTGTGTATGAGAGTTCAGGTAAATTTCCTTTTGTTTCCTTTGCCTACAATAATATTGACATTAATCTAGGCTGCGAGAATGGTGGGAGTTTCCAAGTTTGGTATGTGATGGAGACGAGGCCGCTTTGGCGTTTCTGCAGAAATATGACCGTCTTCGGGCTTAGGCTATTTATTTTCCGGTTTTATCAGTTATCAGTTTATTAGTTATTATGGTTTTTATTTATGTTATTTTATTATTTGAGCAGTTAATTAAGTAAAATAGGAAGTTGAAGAGTAGTGGGCTCTTCCTATATGTACCCACTCCCAGAACAGTTGTCATTCATTATCGTATTATTATTCTGAAAAGAAAACTGAAATCTGTTCTTGCGTTCTATTTTCCCTTTCGATATCATCCTCTACATCAGTATGAGAGTTCAGGTAAATTTCCTTTTGTGTACGGGCGATGTTTGCTTGCCTAGATTACCCAATGGCCCATAATCTTGGTGTAGTCTTGTGTTTGCTTTCCAAGATTAAATCCACGCAAGATATCTTTGGGCATGAGATTATAAACAAACAGTACATAATTTCCCTCTTTTTTTTCTCGTAAGAAATTTCATGTAAGAAAAATACATAATTACATCTAGAAAACAACCTAAAAGCCGAAAGGACAACTCAAACCGAATCTAGTGGGAGGATGGATTCAGAGGATCGCCTAGAACAAACGAACCCACTACCAACACCCACAAAAAAAAAAAAGCTCCACAACTGGAAAAAAAATTCCTCTACATGAGAGTACACGCTCCTTACGGAGAAACACACTCGTGGGAGATAAAACAAAATGAACACAATAACCAAATGCACTAGGAAAACACAAAAAACAAGAAACCAACAACACAACACTACAATTAACCAAACACAAGAAGTACCCCCTGCGAATCCTCAGATCCCCTTTCATCCAAACTCGGCTATCGGCGATTTCCGCTCCCCCCACCGGCGGGGGCTCTCCGAGTTGCTCGGCGGTGACGGCTTAAGGCGTTTGCGGCTGATTCATGAAGGATTATCGGTGGGATGTGTTGTTCCCTCACTGGCGAAGGCGGAGCTGGCCCCTGAATAGGTTGTCGCTGTGGATTTCTGGTGCTAGGACGGAGCACAGGCGGCGTCTTCCCGGTGTTTCTCCGCTTTGGCGAGCCCTCGATGTTGCTTCAAGTTTTGGGTGGCGGCCCGATTTTTCCCTCTCTTTTGGGGAAATTCGGGGGAGATTCCAGCTATCCATCGTGCTGCTCTTCTTCCTGGTGTTGGATGGATGGTTTGCAGCGGCGGCCAGACTAAGGTCCGAATTTCAAGCTTGGGCCTGTTTTTGTTTGGCGTCGGTTGTTGGTGGTAATGCTATGGGTCTCCGGGCTAGGGCTAGGGCGTCTGTCCGGATTTGGGTTGGAGCTGTTGGTGTAGGACTCAGTCAGGCGTTCTCTTGCAGTTTCTGGGCCAGACTCTGAGGCTGTAGCTCGGTCCATTTGGATGGAGGTCCGTTTTGAGTTGTCGTCGCGTAGCTTGGTGGAGTTTGACTGCCAGTGGGAGGATTATTTAGTTGTGTTTATTGTGCTTTCCTGTTGTTGGTTTTATTTTTCTCTATAGGTGTTTTGTTTTGTGGGTTATCTGTGTTTTTAGTTATTTCTCTCCTGTTGGGAGTGCGTTATGTGCATTCTCCAACAGCTTTTGTTTATTCTCCTGTTGGGAGCTTTTGTGTATTCTCCCGTTGGGAGCTTTTGTGAGTGTAGGGTGTGTTGTAGTTAGTTTAGTTCTAGAGCACTCGTTTGTGGGTGTCTTTCTATATTGGAGTCAGTTGGCTCCCAAGTTGTATTCGCATATATTTCGTGTTATAATATGGAAAAAAAAAAAGAAAGAAAAAAACAACACAATACTACAATCTCATTCCCGCAGCGCCAAAAGGGTCTTCAAGTTGCACCCCGAATGGAAATCAAGAAGGGATCGAACCCACCCGGGTTAATCGTCCAACACATTTAGCGCCAAAAACGGGTCTGCGCAAACACAAACCAAACAACTAAAAAAACACAAAAGTATACTAAAAGAAAGCCCTCCTTCCCGACTAGACGTGGCCAGGTGCTGGTCCCGGCCCGGCGGGTCACGGGCTCTCCAACACATGGCCCGCGACCGGCCCGCCTAAAAACCAAGGGCCGGTTCACAGTCCGAACTGCCGGTTCACCGACCCGGCGGTTCACGGGCCGATCCGGCCCTTAAAAAAAACTTTAACAAGGTGGCCCGCCATCCGACCCAGCCGACCCGGCGAGACCAAAAAAAAAAAAGGAATCGGGATCGAACCGCGGCCCTACGGGTCCCGGTTCAACGAACCGACCCTTAACGGGCCGGTTCGGCCCGTGGCCATGTCTATTCCCGACAGACTAGCAACTCCACGTCCACCCTGCCATCAACCGTCGAGAGAGACAACATCGCACGACAGGAGACCGGGACAAAGCACCAAACCTGAAATTGCATAAGGCCTAACAAGATCCGACACCCCAACCCTGGACGCCTCGCCGCAGCAATCAACCCTTACACCAGCGAGCCCGGGTCTAGCCTTACCTCAGGCCCATCAACCAAAGGTCGGCAAACCCCCGGAGCCAAACGTCCCAACACCACCATGGCAGCCCAACACCCAACCCTAGGAGCGCTGCAAAAAGCAGGTGGGAGCAGAGCACGGGCCCAGCCCCAAGCTCCGAACACCTCCCCAACCACCGACAGCCTAGGACGACCAACCACCAGAGTTGCGTCCCCCATCACCGGCGCCACTCGACCACCCCACCCCAGGGGATAAAGAGAACATCGGGAAAAGAGGGACTAAGTTCGACTCCGACCTCCGAAAGACGGAGATCGGAGCAAAACGACCGGCCACCCCGTCGATAGCCGGAGCCACCGCGAACAAGAAGATCCCGCCCGATGACACTCCACCTGGCTGAGAAGCCCACTAATCGGCGGGAAGCAGGACGCTCAGGCCGCACAGCGGCGCTGAACACCCAACAAAGAAGGAGGCCGACTGAAAAAAATAGCTAGGGTTTACTGATAAAATTGGGGGAAACGCATCTTGGAGAGAAAAAGAGATCCAAACTAAAATAAATTTTTGGTTGGGATTGAAATTGGCTCTACAGTAACTTCAGGCCAAATTGACCAAATAACACAAAGTATAAAGGGTGTGTTTGGATATAAATTTGATTGGTTTTTCTTTTAAGCAAAGATATATTTTTTTTAAAAAAAAAAAAAAAGAGGTATGGTTAGTTGTTGGTGGAAATTTAAGTTCAAATTAAAATAATATTTAAAATAAAATAATTAAAGTTGATTTCATATAAAGTAGAAGAAAATGATTGGAAGTGATAGTTAAAATTACTAGTATTCATCCTGTGCACATGCACAAAGAAAAATAAAAATTTATATATTATATTTATGTATACAATATATACAAATTTTATATTAAATAATTGATGTATTACATTTTAAATTTGGACTACATGCAAATGTGTAATGTAAATATAATTTATTTAACTTACGTATGAATCTTTATATTGATGCCGTAAATTTTAATGACTAATATAATTTAGTAATTTAGAGGGACCATACAATTAATTAGTTAGAAAAGTATTACAATTATTTTTATCATTGTTATAGCATTTGTTTATGTGATTTTAATGTGTTTAATTATGACACTCATGCCAATTAACTTATTAGATAAAAATTGCTTAAAAAGAACAAAAATATTTTATTTTAGAAAAAGTATTATAAAGAAAAAAATTGCAATACAATTTTTTATAAGTATGTAACTTCCACATACTATTTAATGTAAAGTTGTAATCAATTAGTGTTAGTAGTGAATAAATTATATTAAAATTATTATTACACTTTATTAATGTAAAATGTAACGGTTCTACATTACTGGAAAAAATAAGCGAGAAAATGAATGGAGGTTTTATTAAATGTTTTATTAAATTCTATATGCCAGCAATTATATATATATATGAGTGAATATAGAGAATTAAAGTTAGAAAAAAAAAATGATTGTAAGTGATAATTAAAATTATATGAGTGAATATAGAGAACTAAAGTTGATGTGATAGGTAAGAATGATTGATTGATATTATTTAATTATATTAACAATATTAAGAATAGTTGAATTAGATTAAAATTATGTCAAATTTGAGTTTCGATTCTTTATCTAGTTTTTATCAAATCTCAGCCAAAGTGATCCAAATTTACCCTTCATACTCCATTTAATTACTACGTGATGCATTAATTGAGGCACATGTGGGATGTGATGTCACTCCCACTTGGTCACATGACACAAGCACGCGCAGTCACCCACAGTTATTTCAAGGGTAAATTGCGCCAAACTCTCCTGTATTATACGAAATCTGCGCGTTTTCCCCCTGTATTTTAAAAATTGCGCCATACCCCCTTGTAATATACTTTTACATGCACGAAAC